GGGCAAGAACACAGCTCTATTCCATGTTGGCTCCTTAGCTAGTCAAAGCAAGATAATATGGCCCACCAACACTGCCAGAGATGGAGAGATGTAAGGCAGCCCTACAGAAATGCTCCACGGACAGGGATCTGGGTGACTTATGGAGAATTACTGTGTATTATGGAGTGCTAGACAGGATTGTATCCATTAGTCTGTTGTTCCCATACTAGTCCTTTGATTGAAAGACTGATACAAATGAGATCTTTTCATGATGATTTGGACCTCACTAACTTCCAACTATTCCTCTAGCTGCTGAATTCCCAAGACAAAGTAATACCTGCTTGGAGCATATGGCAGTGAGCTTTCAGAGATCCTGCCCACCCTCTACAAAGTGACTGGTTTATATATGTTGACACATGAGCATCTTGTAGTTTTGCAAAAGCACCTTGGAGAACAGCAAAAACAGCACCTGAAGAGCTAGAACAAAGATTCAGCATGGCTTTTAAAAGCCACTTCCAGGAGCTGAACTCATAGCCTACAAGTTGCTAGTTAGGGTCACCCCACAAACAATGTAGTTATTATCACTGTTGTTAGTTTAATGATAGAAGTACATAATAAAAATTTATTAATGAAAAGAATGCATAGTTTTGGTGATAAAGACAACAGGGAAGAAAAGGAGGGAAATGGTCAACCAAATATAAATACATATTTACATGCAATAACAACTGAATAAACAGAAGCCATTAATTTGAAGGAAAGCAGGAAAGAGTTTGCGTGAAGGTTTAGAAAAAGAAAACGAAAGGGAGAAATGTTATAATTAAAGCACAATCTCAAAAATAAATAAAAATAAGGACATTTAATACTAAATAAGCTAACAAAAAATTTAAGAAAATAATCTAGGACTGAATTTGAAGTTCTCTACTTGATGGGTAGCACCTACAAATGCCAGCGTATACCAGGCAGACATTGAGGCAGAATTGTTGGTGACAATTATTCTTAGTATGTAAACCATATACTATATTACTGTGCCTGTTGGTGCAATAGTGGTATACTTGTTATAAATGCAACCAATGACTCTCTTTCTTAATAGATTTAAGGTCTATTCTGCTAGAGGGAACTTATATCTGGCACTGTAAAGTAGGGCAAAAACCTGTGGCTAGGAAGGCCACTGTTGTTAGTTTGTTTAACAAATGTGACTTGCCACAGAAAGCACTCCGTCTCAGCTCACACGGTCCCTGGGCCACCTGCATTGCACCTTGATTAGGCTCAGCTACTGGGAAAATTGATAGGAGGGAAGTACAGAGTACAAGAGCTCTCTTCAGTGAAGCATTTCAAAACTGCTGCTTCCACACTGTCGGGCATATTACACCATCAATTTGCGACTCCTACTTATTACCACTAATTGCTACACAGAGAATGATGCTGACCATTGCAGAGCAGCTACGAAGCCCGGGAAGGCAGACCAGAGCACTTGATAGTTTATTGGGGCCATTGCAAAATCCTGTGAGAAGAACCAATTTAAAAAAAAAACAAATGTGACTTGCCAATCAAATTGTTTTACCCACTTTCATGTTAATGCTTACAGATTATTGCATCCTCCATTGTGGATTAAATGTTCTTCATTTCAGTCAGTTGTGGTTAATGTTGAGATGAATAACCAGCCTAAGTGATGAGAATAAGTAACTATTATGGCATAGAATGCTCATGTTGTATTGGACCTAGCCCTAAGCTGGGCAAATAATAACTACCCCAAATATACTTTCATACATCATTAGTTTTGGTATTTCTCCATTGGTCAGAAAAATCAAACATCTATATTACTCACTCCAAGGTTCATAGAACATTGTAGCAGAGGAGGTAAAAGAATTTAAGAGTCACAGGAAAATGTTGAATGTTCAATAAATAGTTCTTGCAAATCAATTTGGAGACAGGAGAGAGACTCACAAGACTCAGAAAGTTCAGGAAATATATAAGACTTGTGAGAAAAGGCAAGCAGTAAATAATTACCACAGAAGAGACTCTTTATGACCCGGTGTACAAGTTGTGAAGGAAACTCCAGTGATGTGGGTTCCATGAGGCATCACCCATGCTTTATGGTCTTTTTTCAGTGATGCAACTGCTTTTGAGTCATCCATGTTCTGAGCGGTAGCACCAATAAGCTCATTGTTCACCAAGATGCATTTGAATAGAACTGATTCTTTTGTTTGCCATTAGTGTCATATCTAAAGAGACTAGTTTGTGTACGTTCACCAGGAAAACAGTATCACAAAAGCATTATTCACAAAAAATAGAAGAAATTATAACCTTATAGTAATACAAAAGACCTCAAGCCAGTTGGTGGTGCCTCGAGCCTTTAATCCCATCACTCTGAACGTAGAGGCAGGTGGGTATCTGAGTTTGAGGCCAGCTAGTCTATAGAATGAGTTTCAGGACAGCCAGGACTACACAGAGAAACCCTGTATTTAAAAAAAAAAACATCAAAACTCCAAGTCAACCACAAAAAAGAGAGAGAGAGAGAGACTGGACACATAATAGTAACTGATTACAAATTATATTGCAAGATATATGACCCAGTCTCAAAAAATTACTCTATAAAACAAGAATAACAAAAACAGCATGGTACTGACACACACAAGAAAAAGCAATGCGTAGACGGATAGCTAGAACAAACAGAACAGAAGAGAATAGGGGAAACAGGAATGAATTCAGGTAACTACACCATAAATAAGCTCATGCTGAGAAAACTAGATATACATATGCAGAAGGATGGAGCTAGAGTCTTTCTCTTCTCTCTATACAAAATGAATCAAAGGCCTTAGTTAATTTAAAACTGGAAACTTTGAAACTACTAGATGAGAACACAGATAAAAATACATTAACATGTAGGCATATGTTGGTTTGAGCTAAGACACTCCATGTCCTATGTCTGAAGTGTGTAGTGAGACCCAGCAACAGGGTCTCACCTTCAAGTTCTGGTAATTGTGGCCACAATGACAGCTTTTAATATTTGGGGTTTTCTTGGCCCTCTGGAACCAGAGTTTTAGTTAGTCTGTGTATGGCTCTTGGAGGAACACTATTTAAATTCATAAAATAATACTCATTCTATAATTTTTACAAACACCTTTAATGTTATTTATCTCTCCATACTCCTTCTCCCTCTAGATTTCCTTCCAACTTTCCTCTCCAATTAGGTCCCCTCCTCCTGTTTTCCTCCTTACCACTCACAGCACCTGTATCCTACTAAGATCCTTCTCCATCCCTCCTCCCATAGGTCCTGTCTACTATCCCACTTCTGTAGTTTCTTCAGGATACATGCTCAAATCAAAATATTCATAACTAGGATCCACAAATGATACATGAGGCTTTTTTCTTTCTAAGACAAGAGTCCCTCAATCAATATAAACTTTTTCTTATTCAATCTAATTTGATTCCATATATCTGCAAATTTCATGACTTAATTTTTCTTTACAGCTGAATAGAATTCCAATGTGCATATGCACATTTTTATTATGCACACATCAGTTGAAGGTCCCTTTCCTGGCTATTGTGAATAGAGCAGTCAAGAATCTGGCTGAGCAAGCATTTATAGCAGGACGGTGAGTCTTTGGATAAATGCAAAGGAGTATTACATCTGGGTCACATAGCAGGTCTCTTTTTTAGCTTTTGAGTATTTTCCACATTTATTCCCATAGTAGCCATATCATTTCGCAATAATCCTTTCCCTTTATCTTTATCAGCATATGTTGTCAGTTGTTTTATTGATTTTAGCCTTTTTGACTGGGTAAGATTATAGAGTATTTTAATTTGCATGCCCTTGTTTACAAAGATATGGAATACTTTAAAGATACTTATTAGCCACTTTTATTTGTTCTTTTGAACACTCTTTATTCAGATTCATAGCTGGTTTTTTAATTGAGTTGCTTGTCTTCTTAATTTTTTTTAGTTTGTTTTGTTGGGTTTTTTTTAGGTTTTTTAATATTGTCTGAATATTTAATTCTGTACTGGATGTATGGCTGGAAAAGATTCTTACTCTGTAGTCTCCATTTTCAATCAGCTTATAGTTTCCTTTACTTTATAGTTTAGTGAATTTTCGGGACCAACACCTTGCAGCAGTAGGTAAAGGGGCCCAACAAGGAACCTTTGTCTTTCTCCTGTTTGCCTTAACACTTCACTGACAAGGTCATCCACTCTAGTGATCAGTTAATCTACTCTGTTGCTGCCTCTGCTGGTAGATTGTTTCATTGATGCCTCTCTTGATACATTGTTTCATTGATACCTGTGCTGATACATTGTTTCATTGATAATAGAATGAAGTTTCTGCATGCCTCCAGCCAGAAGCAGTATCTCTCTAGAAACCCTTCAGGCCTACGGTGCCAGGTAGGGACTGCTGAGACATCCAGCCTGGTAGATTGAGAAGGTGATTTGTTCTTGGTCTCACCAGTGAGAAGGTAGCCATTACTAAACTACTCAAACTATACTGTGTATGTGTACAAGCTCTGTGAGATGGTAGAATAAACCCACTTTTCTGTTCACCTAGTTCTAGTCCTCCAGAGGAACAGTTTTTAACCAGTGGGTCATAACCACTATGGCAAGCCAAAAATATGTACATTACAATTCATAACAATAGCAAAATTACAGCTATGGAATAACAGAAACGATTTTATGATTGTGATCACCATAGCACGAGGAACTGTATTAAAAGGTCACAGCATTAGGGAGGTTGAGGACCCCTCTTCTAGAGGATGTTGATCATTATCTTCTATGAATCAATCTTATTTTCATTAAGTGGCATTTCAGTCAACCTGTCAACAAGACTAACTACAACAAGAACGTATGACTGAACACTAGTATATAAAACAATTTAAAAGCATTTGTCTTAAGAGCAACAATAATTGAATTAAACATTAATCATCTTAATCATTAACTCAAAATTTATTTAGCGTGCATTTATTCAATTCTTTGTTCTTCTGCATCTGTGATGCTGGTTTTATCTGTGATACGTGGAGTTGAATCTTCCTTACCAGGAAGGACAGGTTGTCCTTTACTTAAAATCGGGAATTCTCGGCAGATTTCTCCATCCTCTTTCTCTTGTGCCAGCCATCGTTGAACAGGAATATAAAACTTTTCTCCAGAATTCATGTTTTGTAATTCTATCTTTAATAGCAAAAATAAATAAATAAAATGGATTTTGTTCAAACTTCATACTTAGGTCATAGTTCAAATTTATAAACTATGGAGAATTGAATAAAATTGCAATAACCTATTATCAGGAATCTTATTTAGCCAAAACAACCAACTATACAAGGCATTTTTTTATACTTAGAATAAGATTCTGAATAAAGAATATCTTGGAGCAATGTGTCTCAGGTAGCTCAGAGGTGGTATTAGCTTACCATTCACAAAGCCCTGAGTTTACTCCCACCACCTCCCCTCCCTACAACAGGAAAGTTCTCCTTTCTTCATGGGTTCCCAGGAAAGAACATTGTCTTTCAATGAGAATGTTATAGATAAATGGAAGAGAATATTTCACTCTGAAGATCAGAGAAGCAAATCAGCCAAGTCACCAGAGAGTTCTTACCAAGGCTGGGGAGATCCTATCCTCACTGTGACTGGAAACTAATTGCCTAAGACTTAATGTTGAATCCCACATGAGACACTGAGCTCTTGTCTTCTATATCTCTCTAATGCTGGGATTGAAGGTGTATGCCACCACTGCCCAGCTTCTGTGGCTAACTAGTGTGGCTGCTGGGATTAACAGTATGTACCACCACTGCCTGACCTCTATGGCTGTGGCTAGCTTTGCATTCTGATCTCCAGGTGAGCTTTATTAGATCGTAAACAATATATCATCATACTGCTGGTTGTATTTTTCCAATGCAAATTTTTCAAAACATTTAGAAAGTGTCCCAGCATCCTAGCTTCATAGTTAATACAGTACTAGTCAGTAGTTAATAACTAAATGAGATGGCAAATACATATATGATAAACTTTTAGAAACTCATCAAATAATAAAATGAAAAATATGTACTTTTTAAAGTGTCAACTTTAATATCATACTTTGAAAGGTCTAAAAGGCAAAAAAGGAACTTTATCTTACACAAAAGTCAGGGAGTAACTTGGAACTCTAACTACTACTTCTTGTATTTTCACAAAGTAGATTTAATTTTTCATCCTGCTTCGAGAATCTTTATGACTTTAAGGTAAAGGTGATACTGTTACTAACAATTATTCATCCCTCATAACACTGAATAAATGTGCTTTATGTAATGATTTACCTCCTATGAATTTTTCAATGATTTCTCTTGCATTATGAAACTACAAGAAAGAAAACTTACAAAGTGCCTTAGTTACTTTTCTATTGATGTGATAAACCACATAACCAAGGCCACTTACGAAAGAAAGTATTTAATTGGCTTGTGGTTTCAAATAGCTAGAGTTCATGATGGCAGAACAAATGAATGGTGGAAGGAACAGCTGAAGCTAATACCATGATCCACTAGCAGGAGGCAGAGAGAGACACACTGGGAATGGCACCATGATTTTGAAACCTCAAAGCCTATCCCAAGTGACACCCCTCTTTCAACAAAGCCAGAACTCCCAGTCCTTCCCAACAGTCCACCAAACTGAGAACTAAGAGTTCAAACATATGAACCTATGGGGGCTGTTTTTATCCAAATTACAACATACTACTCCCTAGCTCCCATAGGCTTCTAGCTATATTATAAGGCAAAATGTATTCAGGTCAACTTCAAACTTCTCTATAATCTGTCATAGTCCTTCTTTTTTGCAAATTTCTTTATAATTATTTCTGTAAAAATAAATACATACATAAACACAAATATAATAGACTACTTACAAATAATTTCTAATACATGATTAGTCATCACACTAAGTGGTGTTGTGTGTCAGCTTGACACAAGCTAGATCAACAGAGAAGAAGGAGTCTCAGTTGAGGAAATGCCCCCATGAGAACCAGTTGTAAGGCATTTCCCCATTAGTGATCAATTGGGGAAGGCCAGGCATGGTGGATGGTGACATCCCTGGGACATTGGTCCTGGGTTCTACAAGAAGGTGGGTTGAGCAAGTCAGGGGAAACAATGCAGTAAGTAGTACTCCCCCATGGCCTTCATATAAGCTTCTGCCTACAGGATCCTGTCCTGTTTGGGTTCCTGTACTGACTTCTTTCAGTGGTAAACAGCAATGGTGAAGTGTAAGCCAAATAAACGCTTTCCTCATCAACTTGCTTTTTGGTCGTGATGTTTCATGGCAGTAATAAAAACCTTAACTAAAACAAATTAGCACCAGCATAGTGGAGTATTGTTGTGAGAGATCTGACCATGTTTTGGGGAGGATTGCGGGAGGACTTTGGAACTTTGGGCTAGAAAAGCCATTGAGTGTTAAGAGCAGAAGGCGGAGGCCTGATTTGTGAAGTCAGAGGAAAATTTAAAAATTCTGTTGGGGCCATTTGTTTTAAGTTCCTGTGGTCCTGGTTAGCTGGGGCTGAAGAATCAACTGTGATTAACAAGATACCATAACTACTAAAGCAAGACATTGCTTTGCTGGGATACTTGATGCTGGATGGCTGCAGCTAAAATATCAGCAGTGATTTAAAAGAGACCAGCATCACTGAGGTGCAATCTTCTAGGAAGAGTTTCATTGGAGCATAGAGAAGATGTGTTCCAGAGGCAGCCAGTATTGTACCTTGTGCTGACAGCCTAACTTGGTAAGGTGTGTCACCCAGGTAGTACTGGTTTTGAAGGCATGAAGGGGTTATGGAGATCAACTGAGAATTGGCACTTTAAGAGCCCAGGAGAGGCCGTAGATGAAGGTGCAGCCTCGGTGTCAGTTGAAGACCCAGGACTGAAGGAGTCATGCAAGAAGTTGAGGCATGGCACTGTGAAAAGAGCTATTGGTAAATGTGCAACCCAGTTGGAGCTGAAGGTGGAAAGGCCAGTACCATGGGATGACCACCAAGAAAGACAGTTGTGGCAGTGGAACCAGTTGAAGCCTAGAAGACAAGCTGCAGAGTGTGGTACCCTGCTACTTTACTGGAAGTCTTTACCAGATGTAGAAGTTCCCTGGTGGAGTCTTCAGGGTCTTGTATATACAAAGTACTATCAGCACTATCATCTAAAATTGAAGATACTTTGACTGCATCCTTTCCTAAATGTATCCCTTGATGTCCTTCAGGACTATGTTGTAAAGGTATGAAGAGAATGGGCATCCTTATCTTGTTCCTTAGTTTTTATCTACTAGATGTTCTCTGTGAGTTGAGGTATGTCCCTTATATTCCTAGTCTCTTCAGGACATTTATCATGAAGTGATGTTGGCCTTTTTCAACAGCCTTTTTTTTTTTTTTTTTTTTGCTTCTAATGAGACGATCAAGAGGATTTTGTTTTTTATTTGGTTTATGTGGTGGATTACACTTATAAATTTACATATACTGAATCATCCCTGAATCTCTGGAACAAAGTCAACTTGATCAGAGTGAATGATCTTTTTGATGTATCCTTGAAAGTATTTCGTTGAGAATTTAAAAGTATTTGTTGCTCATAAGACAAATTATTCTATAATTTTCTTTTTTTCTTGGGTCTTTGTGTGGGTTATATGTCAATGTAATTTGAGCCACATAAAAAGATTTAGAAAATGTTCCTTCAGTTTCAACTTTGTAGAGTATTTGTGGTAATCTGTTCAAAGTCTGAATCCATCTGGCCTTGGGCTGGCTGGATGGCTGAATGGCTGGCTGGCTGGCTTGCTTGGGAGACTTAATTACAGCTCCTATTTCACTAGTTGTTATAGGTTATTAAATTGATTATCTGATCTTTGTTTAGATTTATAAATGATACAGATAAAGCACATATTTTGAGTATGTCCTTATGATTATCTGGATTTCTTTAGTGTCTGTAGTGATGTCCTCCATTTCATCTCTGATTCTATTGATTTACATATTCTCTTGACATCTTTTAGTCAACTTTGCTAAGGGCTTATCAATCTTACAGATTTTTCTCAAAGAACCCAACTTTTTGTTTCATTGATTCTTCATATTGTTTTTAATTTGGTGTTATTTCCTTGATTTAGTCCTGAATTTGTTTATTTGTTGCCATCTACTCTTTAGGGTTGTTAGTTATTCTTTCTGTTCTAGAGGTTTCTGGTGTGTCACTAAGTTCCTAATATACATCTCTCCTTTTTATTTTTTAACGTAGGCACTTAGTGCATGAACTTGCCTCTTAGAACTTTTTCAGTGTATCACATTTTGAATATGTTGTATTTTCATTTTCATTCAGTTTTTAAAATTTTTTAATTTCTTAATTTCTGCCTTGACCTATTTTTATTAATATTGAGTCATTCAGTTTCCATGAGTTTATAAGCTTTCTGTTGTTTTTGTTGTTGATGATATCCATCTTTAAACCATGGTTGTCAGATAGGATGCAGGAAATTATTCCAATTTTCTTATATCTATTGAGACTTGTGGTCAAATTGTGGTCAATTTTGGAAAAGTTCCATGAGCTGCTGAGTGGAAGGTATATTCTTTCATATTTAGGTGAAATGTTCTGTAAATATCTATATCCATTTGATTTATGACATCATTAAGCTCTAGTGTTTCTCTGTTATTTTTTGTCTGGATGACCTGTCTATTGGCAAGAGTTGAAGTCACTCACTATCACCACGGGAGGGTAAATAATGTGATTTTGGATGTAGCCATGTTTCTTTTATGAAATTAGGTACCCTTGTGTTTGGTACATAAGTGTTTTGAATTAGAAAATATTCTAATTCTAATACTCTTGGTAGTTTTTTTTTTCCTTTGGTGGGTATGTAGTGTACTTTCCTATCTTTATGATTAGTTTTGGTTTGAGGTCTATTTTATCAGATATTAACATGTCCATATCTGCTTGCTTCTTGGGTCCATTTGTTTAGAATATCCTTTTCCATCATTTTACCCAGAAATTATTTCTTACAGCTCTTAGGATAAATGTTTCCCCAATGTAAGTGTTATAGTTCTGAAGGGAAAAATGTTCTGGTAGTTGGGACCAAGGAATACTACAAAGTCATACCACACAACAAATTGGGAGGGAAGAACTCAGGATGGTGGCTGCCTCTGTTCAGGTGAGAAGCAGCAGATAACTTAATAGAAGACAGGGTTCATATAGGGTTTC